CTCCAAGTGACCCACCCCCTCTCCAAGTGATCTCCCCCTCTCCAAGTGACCCACCCCCTCTTCTAGTTATTCCTCCTCCAAAATATCCCTCCCTCTCAAGGAATCTGTGTTCTCTCCACTCTTTTATTTCTACTAGTGGAAAAATAACTAGTTTTTCATCTCTGACAGCTTTTGCAGGCTTTCTTGTATAAGATGTTTAAACTTCTCTAGCTACAAAAACATTAACAACCTGAGATATGCAGATGACACTGCAGCCTTCAATATGGGTTACATTTCAACATCAAGAAAACAAAATCCTCACTGATGGACTGACAGGCACCATCATGACAGATGGAGTAAAGAACGAAGCTGTCAATTATTATACTTGGATCCACAATCAACACTTATGGTAGGAGCAGTGAAGAAATCGAAAGCTGGGTTGCACTGGGGAGATCTGCTGCGGGGAAAGGTCCACAGTGCTAAAGAGCAAGGATCCGGGTTGTACACAGGGCTGCTCTGACTCAGAACCACCGAACAAGATGACAACAAATGATGGCACATCCCACTTCCACCAATATATCCTAACAAAGATGCACATAAAGGATCCACAGCACTGGTCACGGAGGAGCGCCTGCCCAAGCCGGAGGGCGTACAGGGCAGAGATGGTCAGGGAAGGAAGCCTCATGCTCTCCACAAGGGGGAGAAACAGGTGGTAGGACTGCAGGTGCAGCATGTCGGAATTGGAAACTTTCATGACCAGGAACAAGGCAAGCCCGGCATGTTCTGGATCTCAAAGGATTCAACCACAATTGGCCCCAATCTCAATACCCAACCACAAGGACTGATTAAATTATCACACTTTCACATCATAGGATTCTAAGCAGCAATATCCAAGTTATTGTTGTGATGTGCTGTCAAGTTCCTTGTGACTCACTGTGACCCTGGATTCTGCTCTATCTTGAGCCAATGTCATTGTCTCCAACACATCTACCCCCATTACCCCTCACCGAGTCAATCCATCCCAGCCAGGGTCCTCCTCTCCTGCAGTCCCTCCACCCTTCCAGGAGTGACATCCCTCTGCAAGGACCGGTCCCTCCTGGCAACGTGCCCAAAGTATGTGAGATGGAGCTTCCTTGCCTCCAAGGAGCAGCCTGGTTTTACCCTCTCCAGAACACACCTGTTTGTCCTCTTAGCAGTCCATAGTATATTCAATACTCTAGCACCATAACTCAAAGGCACTGATTCTTCTTCCATCATCCTTAGTCACTGTCCAGCTCTCTGATGCATAACAAGTAACTGCAAAGCCCATGGCCTGGATCAGGCGCACCTTAGTCTCTAGGCTGGCATTGCTCTTCATTACTCTGGAGAGGTCCCTGACAGCAGACTCACTTCTTGGCTGCTGGTACCAAGAGTACTGATGGAGCCAAGCAAGATGGGAAAGACTGAGAGGTGTTCCAAACATTACCTCAGGGTGGGGGAGCAACAGGTTTTCACATGCTTTCTTTCTACAATGACCACTGTTACTCATACCCTTAAAGAGGGGGACAAGGGGGAGGTAAGAACAAAGAACTCAAGAGATTTGATCAACGAGTGGACTTCATGAAGTTCTAAAGTTAAAAACTGTACTTTTTTAATAATATACTGGAACATTCTTTTTAATAGTATATTTTGGGGATCTATAGATTTTGCTACAAAGTTACAGTGCCTGGATGTATGGATATGAATTCTTGTATGGATTGAACTGAGTCCCAAAATGAGATGATGTTTCGCTCCCGGTTCCTGGCAAGGTAGCCTGCGTGGGCACAGGATCTCCGAAGATTTTTTCAGTCAGTAGGTTACACTGGAGCAGACTAGGGGTTCCTATCTGAGTGGTGTCTTATAAAAAAGAACACTGAATTATTGCCTGGTCAGTGTTACACTAGTGCCTTAAAAATGTCAACAGAGTTATTAGCAGCATTAATATCAAGTGGTATAAGTAACCCATTATCCAGTTCACCAATAAAAATATTAAATAGCTCATGATCCAAATTTCACATTGAAGAAAACAGGGTCCTTCAATGGATGCCTGGGACCTTCAGAGTCTTTTCAAATAGAAATCAGCTCTGTAATTTTTCAAAATCATGTCTGAAAGAAGACGTCTGCAAAGTGTGCTGCTAACTAAAACCATGTCTGAATTAGCGAGGCTGGAAACGAAGGGAAGGAGAGGAACGGGCCGCGCTCCTGGGTTTGGGACGGTGTTACCTTCGCCGTTGTCGATTCCCGACATGTTGATGGACGGCCCGCTGCTGCCGCTTCCCGAGGCGGCGCTCATCTGCTGCTGCAGACGCTCCAGCTGGAAGACCAGCGAGTTCTTCTCCGTGCTGAGGCTCTCCAGCATCGTCTGCTTCTGGATCAGGGTCTCTGTGAGCTGGTGGAGGCGGCTCTCCAACTCCGACTGACTGCTGCTGCTCAAAGTTTTGTTGGTGAGCTGGGAGGCAGAATGTGCACCAAATTACTGCATAAAACACAAGTCCTACAACACAGAAAGCTGCAACCAACCTCTCACAGGTGGACAGTAACATTAATTAACTGGTTTTCTAAAACTCTACCATCATTCTTTCACTCTACAAAGGCTTTTTAGTTTGGGTTTTTTTATCATCTAGGTATTACATTTTATGGACTAATATAATCATGTATGTGAAAACATGATATTAATCATGTATTCCTTGGATAAGGGAGTTTAGCAAGGTTGCGGGATATAAGATCAAAATAAGCTGCAAGATCTCTATTGTGGTTGTTGTTAGGTGCCATCAAACCAAGACGACTCATTAGTGACCCTTATAAACAACAGACCTGAACCTTGTCCTACCCTGTGCCACCCACATCATCTCTAACACATAAGTCCATTGCTGCAGTCACTGTGTCTATGTTATCAATTAATATATGGAAACAGACATTTAAAAACAAAACTACAGCATCTGAAATTTGTAATCCTTGGGACAAATGTGACGAAGGATCTGCAATACCTTTACGATGAAGTTATTAAATACTGCTCGGAGAAATGACAGTCCTAACTCATCTAAGAGCTTCCCCCGCCCCTGGGTCTGAAGGCTTAGTGCTGCGGCGATGCTGACTTGACAGAAGTGTTCTTCAAACTGCAGGCTATTGACGAGTCATGAAATAAATCTGGCAGGTTGCAATCAACATTGCAAAATGTGAAACAGAGAAAATGTAGAACAGAATGTCAAATTCTCAAGGAATCTAGAATTCCTGGAGCTATGGAGGGTGAATAAACCCCACACTAGTGCCCGGAGATAATCTTTAAACGAAAAAAAAAAAAAAAATATGTCCTCAAGACTTATTTAAACCCAAACAATATTTTCCTTTAGCTGGTAAAACAGGCCAGCCCCGAACATTATGCTCTTTTAAGATCTATGTGGGAACAAACTGACAAGAGCAACGCAAAAGATTAGCCAGGAGCTGCAGGTGCTGGTTAGTTCAGTTAGTGGAAGAGGAACAATGCCGAAAGGGAGGGTGGGGATGTTGTACAACACTGAGATGTAACCAGTGTCACTGCAACGGACACGTGGAAACTGCTGGACTGGCTGCTGTCAAAGCTCTCAGCAAAACAAACTTTCAATTCAAAAAGAACATGTAGGGGAGCTCTGGTGGCCTAGTGGCAAGAAGCTGCAACTACAATCCCAGAGGTGCACGGTTCGAATCCACCAGATGCTCTGCCGGGGAAGGAGGGGCAATCTCCTCCTGTACCAGTCACATCTGATTTGACGGTGCACACACACACACACACACACACACACACACACACACACACACACAAAAGAACATGTGACAGAAGAGAATGGGACACAGAGTGGCCAGTACACAGGACATGACAGTGACACGGTGCAAAGCTTCTGTTGTGGAGCTGCACGTGTGAGCGCGGGCACACTGTAAACTGCTCACTGTGCCATTCTGGACAAACAGTGTGAAAGCCCAGGTCCACCTGACACAGGTCAAGCTTCTCAGGCTGGATCCCAAACCATCTGTGAGTAACAGCTGCAGTGCAGGGCGCAGAACCAGCGTAGGCTGACATCTCTGCTATATACTTGTTCTCTGGTTTGGGACACACACAGAACCTTTCTGGATCTGTCTCCTCACCTGTGAATGAGGGTGGTGGCCTACTGCGAGCTGGGGGCAGGAAATGGGACTTCTCCCAATGTTCAGTAAGGAGTGGTGCTGCCAACCCAAAGGGATATGGTTCAAATCCACCAGCTGCTCAGTGGGAGAAAGATGGGCAATCTCTTCCTGTGTGATTTACTCCCTCAAAAAGCATCCTGGAGGGTTCACTATGAGTCAGTTCTGACTCCACAGTACATAAGAAGCATCACCACTGTGGGGCCCAGCTGACAGGTGCTGCTGTAAAAGCTTCCTCTGCTGTCCACTCAATCTTGCTCTTGCCACATTTTCCTCTCTTTACATTCAGCCTCTGATCTGCTCATAACTTCCCTGTTAGGAAAACTCCTTCCCCTTTTCTTACCTAAATTTCACCAGCCTTGCTAAGCCTCTTCCTTGAGCCTTCTCCCATCACTCAGCCTGTGCCAATCCCAGTCCTCTTTATACTTCCCTGACTGTCTGAGACTTTATCACTCACTCTGACAACATTTCTACAGGTACCCATTTTACTTCTCAACAAAACAGTAACACACAGGTTTTTAGACGTCTCTTGGGCACACCCTCCTATGCTTAAGTCTCTCTTCACAAAAACAGCATCTCAGATATGGCAGGTACTAAATGAGCTGACAGCAAACCTGGGAATGTCTGTCTAAGGACTAACTCAACCGGTGGCTTTGGGTTTTACGCTTGCCTTCTTTCTTGAATTCTGTGCTTACAAACCACTCCATCATCTGTTATTGTGAAACGTGAGTATTTCACAATGTAGGCAGAAGAAACAGACTCAGTTCTAACCTGTTCCCAACTTTATGAATATATGAAGCATGAAAACATCTTTCTGCGAGCTGTGTAAACGGCTTAGGAGTCAGGCATGAACAGAATCAGTCATCTGAGCACAAGGGAGGATAGGGCACTGTGCAGTCACAGGATATGTGGATGCAGGAGTCGGGAACCCACAGAGTCTTGTCTAGGCACAGGGTATGTGAATGCAGGAGTTGGGAGCCCACGGAGCCTGGGAGGCACAGGGTCTTTGAATGAAGAAGTCGGGAACCCACAGAGTCTTGTCTAGGCACAGGGTATGTGAATGCAGGAGTTGGGAGCCCACGGAGCCTGGGAGACACAGGGTCTTTGAATGAAGGAGTCGGGAGCCCATGGAGCCCCGTCCAGTCTCAGGGTCTGTGAATGCAGGAGTCGGGAGCCCACAGAGCCCCGGAAGTACAGTGGATGAACACATGTGTGCTAACGGGAAGGGCCCGTCTGGGAGAAAGAGGAGACAGTCTTCTTCCCTAAGCTTTGCAATCCTGGAAACCCAATGGAGTGCTCTGCTCTGTCCTGGGGTCACTAGGAGTCAGAACCCATTTGCTGGCTGCAGGTCTGATATAGCTTTTAAAGGAAATGTACATGGTAGGCCCATGTGTGCCATTATATCCTCAATGGTTTACATTTTCACAGCAAAATAAAAAACTATTGGTGACTGTATCAAAGTGCGATCAGGCATTACATTCCAGATCGGTCACTAGATTTTTCCCATGAAACTGGCTCCAAGCAGAACCACTACCGACATCCCAGGACAGGTGTGTGGGAGCGCTCACACCTCCCGGGGCAGCAATGGCTGTACGGTCCTGTGAGAAGTCGGCCAGAGAGCAGGGCAGGTGCAGGCTCACCTGGCATTCGACGGAAGTTATCGCACCTCTGCAGCAAAGAGCCCAGGGGAAGACGAGGCACGGCGGAGGTGCCACCAGAGCCTTAAAGAAGCCCAGCTTTACTGGGACGTCTTTGTCCAGCTTGTAAACGCTGACTCATACCTGGTTTCTGAGTTTTTGAATCTCGTCTTCTCGATCTTTAATTCTGCTCTGCAATGTGTTCTTTGCCCGATACAGGTCTTCCTCTATATAACGGAATTCCTGCAGAGTAAGGTACAAATAATAGAAGCTAAATCAGCATTCCTCATCTATCTGCAGTCCCTAAGACAACACACAGGAGGCATCCAATTTGCTGAGCACATACTGAATGAATACATGAAAATACTTAACTGGGTTTAATAAAAAGTTTCCATTCAGCATGAGGTATTATTAGTAATACAAAACTCACACACACACACAAAGAATTTTAAAAAAGAAAATAAGCCACAACCACATTAGAAAAATGAGTAAAGCAGGGAGCTCTGGTGGCCTAGTGGCAAGAAGCTGCACTGCAATCCCAGAGGTACGCAGTTCGAATCCACCAGATGCTCTGCTGGAGAAAGATGGGCACTCTCCTCCTGTATCAGTCAGATCTGATTTGACGGTACACACAAAACAATAAAATTTTTTTTTAAATTTTAAAAAGAAAAATGAGCAAAGCAAATGAGGAAATAAGGAAAAACAGTATGAAGTCAATGCAGTTGTAGGGCACAAAATAATATTTAAAAAACCCCACAAAACACAACAGGTTACTTTAAAACAGTAACTAGTTAGAAGATGTAATTACACAGGGCCACGGATAACGATTAATGATTCTGAACAGATTTTCGTACATTCTTTGTATTAAGCAATATCTTGTGCCTGTTTTGTTCCATTATGGATGAGCCAGAGAGGTCGAGAGCGCCCTGACTACACTAACAAGGACACTCACACACCCTATGGATGGTGGATACTATGAATCGAGGAACTAAACGGAATGCAAGCAAAGTCTTTGCTAATAAAATACCTCCAAGTCAGTGAAACACACTGTGGCACAGGACGAATGAACACCTGAGACTGACGAAGTACATTCAAATGTACTGTGCACAGTGAACTGTGCTGACAAAGTAAAGGGACAAGGAAGTAAAGGAACACGGAATCAGATAACAAAGACAGATATTTATCAACCTGTTCATTTCACAAGTAGACAAACAGGAACAAATAAGGAAAGAAAAAACGAGAAAGGTATTTAATTAGGGTACACAATTTAAAAGGTTTAACAGCTACTTGTCTTTTTTTTTTTTTAAGATCCTGGAAAGCACAGCTTAAACTTGCACAGATAAATGAGGCACACTAGTGGACTATTTCACTGCAAGATTAAGTACTTTGCATTTAGAGTATGTGACTGCTAGACAGTCCCCTTTCCCTCCACTTAATTGTCTCATTTACAAAGAGTAATGGCAAGAGAGTATGGTAAAACCATCTGCTACAATAAAATGAAAATTATCTCATTACCATCAAGAACATCAAGGTTTTGCTCTTTAATATATGAAAACCACTTGAATAAATGAAAACACAATTTCTGGAAGGACAGCTAACCTCTTAACTGGATTATCTAAAACAGTCTGCGATATAACCTGAAGCGTGCAACTCTAGTTTCTCTCTTACTACCCAGGAAGGGATTTAAGTACTATTTTAATAACATTTCTCTAAGAAAAGAACTCATTTCAGAAAATGATACCCTCTAATTTAAAAAAAAAAAATCTTTAAAGAATGCCATCTGAAAATGTTATATAAATAATGCACTAAGATTTATAAGAGTAATTTTCTGAAAAATAAAGTGAACTGTGCTGACTGTATTGTGATGGAATAATATAATGTATGTTAAGTGCTTAAATAATGAGTTATTGAATAATTTACAGATACTATTAATATTTGAGACTCTTATTTTGAAAACAGAGTTACAATTTTGTTAATGTTGACACAATTATGTAAACACTAAAAATATTCTGGTTTAGGGAACAGAAACTGCCAAACAATAAAATATTATTTTAAATAAAATGTGGAAGAATAATCTCTAAAAGCATCTTATCTCAAACCGAAATAACAATCTGATATGGAAATAACACTGCATTTGTGTTAAGGAATATTTGCTGCTGTCCCTAGAAAAGACAAATGCAGTAACTATGGAAAGCAACTGGTGAAGTATGGTGTTTTTAGGTTTCTATACCTAAGAACTCTAACAGTAAAAACAAAGACATGGAGGAGTAGAGAGGTTCCCGATGTCTGAGGCAGGAGTCTGGGCTCCAGCCTAGTCTCTAACGAGCTGTGTGATAAGAGGCAAGTCAAGCTGAAATTCTGAGTGTCTATTTTTCATCTGTCAGAAAACAAATGGACAGGAAAGGTGCAGTGAGACCCAATGTCCTTTACGGTCCTGACCACCATGCAAACGTGCTGAGTCCAGGTGCTAAGAATTTCAATAAGCTGTGTTTGGGGAGGTCTCTTCATAGGACTCCAGGGGAATAATGATGAATAATGATGGTGTAATGCTTAAGAACTCAGCTGTTAACTGAAAGGCCAGAGATTTGAACCTGCCAGCATCTCCACTGGAGAAACACGCAGCTGGCTATCTCCATAAAGACTTAGTCTTGGAAACCCTACAGGGCACTTCAATTGTGTCCTACAAGGTCAGGATGAGTCACTGACAGTGGGGCTTGGCAATCCACAAACGCCCACAAGACGGGAGTCTGCGCGGCGATCAGGCCCCTACAATCCTCACCTGCTTCTGGCGGTCCAGTTCTGCCTCTAGCTCTAGTTTAGATGCTCTGTGCTGAGCTATTTGGTCTTGCAGGTCTTGTAACTGCTCCCTTGCGGATTCTGCTTCATTAACCTGCTGCGCTTCCACATCCTGAAAAGATGAACCTTACATGTGAAAGCAATAAACGACCTGGTCAGTTCAATATACACTGAGCGGCCAGCAGGGTCCATTGCTGAGCTCAGTGAAGTGGAAGGATAAAGACGCGCCACTTGCCAGGAGCATACAAGTGACACGTTCACTCTTTCATGTGACAGAGGAAGAGAATGGACAGAGCACTGCAGCTGCTGCAGCCTTCGTGCACATGACTTCATCGGCAGAACACATTGTGCATCAGTGAGGTTTATGTCTATTCAAAGATTAAGGATTTCTAAGACAGCAAAAATCAAATGAAAGCCTACTGAATCAATGCCTGAATTCCAGGTGCTAAGCAGTGTTCTGCGCATGTTCCAGAAGTCAGTAGGAACTTTCCTCTGTCCCCGCGTGAGGACAGTTAGTGTTACTGCCTCCTAATCTCAATCACTATGATCTGCTTTTACAACTTCCTGTGGCTCTCACACCTTCATTGCGGTGCCACCACTCTCACATCTTCCAATCTTAAACATGTTGCCAAAATTCCCTGCAAAATCTTAATTCAATGGCCAAGAAGCCGGCTCAGTATTTCGGTTTCTACTTCATACTTTAAGCATTCTGCATCTGCAGGCCTAACGGTCACTCTGTAACATCTGTTGAATGAATGAATCTGGGTACCTGTGTTTCATATTCCCGTAATTTTTCAGTCAATCCCTGGACAAGAACTTGACTGCTGTGGACTCACTTATATACGATGACTCCTATTCCACCAGAAGTATCCAGAAGCTATTTCACTAAAGCCCTCCCTGAAGGCCCAGAATCTATCACCTCGCAAACTGCTATCAGCCAGGAATAAGACACTTTGTGGAGCCGAATCACAAAGGCTCGTACCTGGAGTTCCGATCTCAGCTGGTGGATCTGGCCCATCAGCTTCTGGATCTCGTCCCTCTGCAGCTCCTTCTCGTGCCGAAGCTCCTCCAGCTCCATGCTGCTGGCAGTGCTGCTGTCCAAGCCTTCAAAACCAGAACCTTCCTTTAAGCTGTTAATCAGTTTTTCTTTAGACTGTTACAAAAAGATAAATTTGGAGAAGGAAAGCAAAGATTAGCTTGCAGACTAAGTAACTAAACTAGTGCACAGAAACTAAACACACAGGGAAATATTTCAACTCTATCCATCATCACAGAAGTCCAAAGCTTCGTAAATTGACAGGGATATGAATATAGCAGAGTCCTGCTGTACAATGTCCTTAGACTGAGAGCCCAGAATTATAGTTACAACTCTTCTCGTGCTTTCTTAATTTTTCTAACACTACACGCCTCTCAACGAGGTATTTCGGAAGCAGTCATCCTGGGCTTAGTCCCACGCTGACGTTCTGGGGGTAAAGATGCACCTCTGGCCTCCAGCAGGGGCCTTATAAGTGTCCAGGAGAAGATACCAAGCACCAGCTGGCAGCAGGACATGAACAGATTATGTGCACAGTTCTGAGGAGAAGACATTTTCTGGGAACACAGCTTCACTTGGAAGGTAGCACATACTGGCCTTAAAAAGAGGCAATGATCTTAAAGGTGCAGAGAAAGCAAAGGGCAAATATAAAGGTGCACAAAACAGAGGGGGCCTCTAATGACAGTGAGGTGAGGCTCAGAGAAGCATGCTGGGACCCATTTGTGGTGTTTCAGAGGCCAGGCCAACATGCCCTTGTTTATTTGGTGGACTGAGCAAAGAGGCACTCTGGGGGCCTGGTCTGCAATAAATTGTGCTGCTAATTTCAAGGCACCTCTCCAGAGTACTGAAGAGCAATGGTATCCCTCTGGACACTAAGGTGCATCTGATACAGGCTATGGTCTTTGAAATCACTTGTTATGCATCAGAGAACTGGACAATGACCAAGGAGGTTAGAAGGAGAATTGATGCCTTTGAGCTGTAGTGCTAGAGAAGAGTATTGAATGTACCATGGACTGCCAAGAAAACAAACAGATTCATCCTGGAGAGGGTTAAACTAGGCTGCTCCTTGGAGGCAAAGATTCTAGGGCTTCGTCTGATATACTTTGGACATGTTGTAAGGAGGGACAGGTCTCGATGGCACATAACAACAACAACAACGCTGTGCCTGTCTGGCAGTTCAAATCCAGCAGCAGCTAGGTGAGTCCAAGCTGGGTCATCTCCCATGTGATCAGCTCGGAGTTGGGTCTGACTCTACAGTGACGAGAAGTAAATCCTCAAAAAGAAGACAAGGGCAGCTGCTCTGAACAGAGATACATTTTGGGAAAGTTTATCTGCAGGGGTATGAATAGGACTTGGTAAACTATGGCCCAGGGGCCAAATCTGGCTTATAAGACCCACAAGCTAAGAGTGGCTTTTAAATCTTTAAAAGGTTGCAAAACAAAATAGCAGTAACAACAAAACAGAAAAGTAATGTGACAAAGATCCCATGGCTGTCTCTCCTGGCTCTTGTCGAGTCTGTGACCACTTCCTGTCTCTGGTTTTTGGTTTTTTTTTTGGCATGATCTTTTCCTTTGCCCAAGTATTAAGACTGTTGTTAGATTTCAGCCTCCTCCTCTCTCCAGCTGGTACCATTCCTGGATGATCTCACCCCCGACCTGCCAATACCCAACACCCACGTGTGCTGCAGGCCTGAATTCCAGCCTTCCTGACACTTTCACCTCAATGTCAAACTCACTATAATTTTCATCATCTTCCTCAATTCTAATCTGCCTTCTCTTTTACAGGAGGACTACATTCATGGAGTTCTTTAAATGGATAATGTGGACTAGATCCCATTGGCTTTGTCCTATTCCCTCCAATTAAGTCCCAAAGCCATCTACTTCTTAATCTCTCTCTCACACATCCGTCATCCTCCCAGCCACACCTCAGATCAGGCTCTCCCGATTTCTTTCTCTGACTTCTTACAATTATCTCTTAGCCATGTACATCTATCTCCAACCTTACCACTCCACTCTTCACTCCTTCAATTCATTCAGCAACAACTTATTGAGCACCTATTGCGAGCCAGGCCCTGTACTGGGGAACCACTCTGTCCACAAGGGAGAGGCTCAGCTCTCTAAATACCCCTCCCTGCAGCCAAACCTCTTATGCGTGAATGTGATCACTCAAACCTCTTACCCTTCATTCCCTCATCACTTCCTTTGGGCATATTCTGAGGAGGAATCAGGTCTTTCAGACAGGTATTGTGCTGGTTTGAAAGGTGGAGTGTCAGTGAGAGAGAAAGACCCTCAATGCGATAGCTGACACAGTGACTCCCACAATGGACTAGGCCTAGCACAGCACAGGGCAAGGTTCAGATGTGTTGTTTACATGAGTCACAGTCGACTTGATGGCACCTAACATCAACAACAGTATCCCATGACCTATGAAAACAAATCCAGCCCCCTCTGTGTGGTAAGCAAGATCCTTCAGGATCTGGCTTCTGCACACCATGTTTTGTTTCCCACCCCTTCACCTCTAACTTCCTGTGTCCTGTGGGACAGAAGGAGCTGCAGACCCCCTTTCATGGCCATGTCCCTTCCGGCCCCTTGCTCAGCAGAGACTAGTCTATCAGCCTATCTTCAATCTCTTCCCTCCTCGTCTTTGCAATTTCTTTTTACACAATATCCTCTCAGTGCAGTGATCCTGGACAGTCCCAGGCAGACCTGAAAAGCTTTCTCCCTCAGGCTCCTACTGTACTGCTTCTACCAATCATTTCATTACATCAATTACTTCAATGTTCTACCACTAGGAACGAGAACATGGCTTTGCTCTTTGTACCCTCGGCACGTATCAGATTAAAAAAAGAAAACAAAGGCAAAAAACCCCAAACCTGATGCCATCAAGTCTATTCTGACTCCCAGTAAACCTGTAGGCCAGAGCACCATTCTCCCACAGGCCTCCCATGGCTCTACCTTCTCAGGAGACTGTGTATCCCTCCTCTGGGGAGAGGTTGCAGGTTCAAATCCACAGTAACCTGCAGCCCAGAGCACACTCTCCCACAGGATGCTCATGGCTCTTTACTCCCGCATCCTTCACCTGGTGAGAGGCTATGGGTTCAAATCGACAGCCTCTCGGTTATAAGCCAAGTACTTTTAACCTCAGCACCACCAGGGCTCCTGTGCTGACACTAAAACATCCCACCACTAAGTGCTTCTGAATCCTGGTAATCCTCCCCCAGTTTTCCGAGGCTGTAAATCTTAATGCGAGGCACCACCTCATCTTTCTTTCATGGAGTGGCTGGTGGATTCAAACAGCCAACCTTTCCATTAGCAGCCCAGGAGGTAATGCACTAAATCACCAGGCTCCTCCTAGAAAACAGGTACTCATTAAATAGTGATATAAATGTATCACCAGCAGTAAAAAAAAATGCAAATCACAATGTTACCTAGGCCACCTTCTGCCACCCTCCCCCCCCCCCAGTAAACCTGAAAGCAACACCCTCAAAGCCCTTCTATTTGTAAGTCACAAGTTTGTTCTCTCTAGGTTTGCTCCCTTTCCTATAGGTAACCTTAACTCTGAGTTTTACCCCAGAATTGACCCTGAACCCAGTGCCAGTGACAAAAAGGAAATACAACTGCCAGCTAAGGAAGCAAAGGAGGATGGAACCTCTGGGTTCAACCAGGCATTCCCACTGGACCCACCTGGGAAAACACTTTGCAGTCCAGAGGGGAGCAAATGACAGGAAAATATCTTCTAACAGAGCAAGAAGGCAAGCAGCTTTAACCCAAGACCACCAGTAAGGTGATAAAGCATCCTCCCTTCCCCCCCTTTACATCTACGCCCCTGTTCAGCATGAAGAAGCCAGAGAGTCGGCATCCAATTCCCTAATCAATAAGACAGTTGGTTTAATTACCATTGGAAAATGCTTGTCATTCCTCTGTAGCATCTGGTCCCCACTGGACCCTCATCATTTCCTTCACCTGCTCCCCCCACTGACCAAACTGTGCATCTCTGCAACTGCATCCTGGCCCATCCTCACCCTTCTGCCCCCAACCCTCACCTCCTTGTACCCCCAATATGCTTTTCCCAATAAAAAAAATCACCTGGAAAAAAAATACAAATCAAAATGACAAGGAGATACCATCTCACTCCAATAACAGTGGCCACGTTTAACAGGACAGCAAGTAATAAATGTTGGCGAGGATGTGGTGAGAAAGGAACTCTTATACACTGTTGGTGGGATTGTAAAATGGTACAAACACTCTAGAAGGTAGTTTGGTGCTTCCTCAAAAAGCTGAACATAGAAATTCCATATGACCCAGCTATTCCACTGTTTGGAATATACTCTGAGAAAATGAGAACTGAGGTCCAAATGGAGATTTGCACACCAATGTTCATAGTAGCATTATTCACCATTACATGAACATGGAAACAGCCCCAGAGTCCAACCACAAACTAATGGATTGAGAAATCATGGTATATTCACACAATGGACTACTATGCAGCATGCAGGAGCAATGATTTTATAAATTATTAGCTAACTTGGGAGAGACTGGAGAGCATTATGTTGAGTGAACTAACTCATTTAGAAAAGGACAAATATAAAACCATTATTACTGAAAGAGTATGAAGATCCAAGAGGGTAAGGAGGGTGGAAGCAGAGGGATGAGGATATGCCGAGAGAGGGGGATTATGGGTTTGTACAATTTGATGGGTGGGGGGTGAGGGAAGCTGGGAGAATCTGATCTGAAAAATGTATTCAAATTTTATAAATAAACTAGTATAAAAAGAAATTTTTTTAAAAAATAGAAGGATTTTGAGGCTATGGGTACCTCATGGTGGCAGAGTTAAAAAAAAAAAGTGGGTTTTTTAAAAACAATTTTCTTTTTTTATAATTAATTTTAATGAAAATTTACAGACTTTGGATTTCTCTTCATTCACTGTTGCACTTTTCTCCCTGCACCCCGCCCCCCGACAGTAAGTACAGTCTTCTCTTTGCAAAGTAAAAGAAAAGTTCCCCCATTGTTTTACAATCCCTCCCCCTAGGTCCACTCCACTATGCGTCCTTCGTTCTGGACTCCTGTCATGACAATAATACCTAATCACATATCCCTTTTAAACAGTTAAAAAAAAGTGTTCTTAAACAAGAGAAAAACTGGTAAGAAAAAGTGACACTGAGAATAACACTGAAGTTACTGGATCGTTGCCTGAGAAGATGGCAACAGCATTTAGTGAGGCAGGAGAATGAAGGAGAAGCTGTTGTGGACAAGGACAGAGTCCACGCAAAAGGCAGAGCAGGTAGTTAGAAATAGGAGCCAGGAGGCCAGGCTGCAGGCAGGACACAAGGGCAACAGCCCGAGACAGAGTGACCAGCTGAGCATGCAAAGGCAGAGTGATGGCAAAATGGGCTAAGACAGCACTTGAGAGGCCTCGCTCCACAGACTAGAAAGCAGAGGCCGAAACAGCAGGAAAAGGCGTAGAGGGACGCAGGGCCAGGTAAGTGGCACACAAGGCAAAGGGTACTGAGAAGACGGAGGGCTAATGGGGCAGGTGTCCAACAGCAATCTGTCCTCAGGAAAGGGCATGGCTATGTACAAGGCCGAGAGAGACTACTACAAAGACAACTTCACGAGTGTTGTGAGGACAGAAAAGGTATCACGAAGCTGACAGGCTATATGAGAAGTGGAGGGAGTCAGTACACTACAACTGTGACAAAGCTAACACTGAAAGAAGGAGAGGCAGCAGGGGTGATGGTTCAAAGTAATGGGAACCCAAGAGGAGCGGGTTTCTGAGGCAGCAGTTCTGAGTTCTCCCACTAGGTGACCATGGGTGCGTGAGTAAACGGGGCAAGATGCTGGCCAGGAGAGGGCAGCAGAGAGGGAGAGGCAGGGCAGACAGCAGCAGAAAGGGATTCACAGAGAAGGAACTGAAAGGAGGTGGAAAGAGAAAAATTCACCCCCAGAGGGAAAAGAAGGCGACGTTTTTCTCTGACAGGCAGTGGAGGAAAGAGAAGGTGGGTCCACAGTCTCTAAAGAAGAGGCAAAGTCACTCATTTACATCTGACCAAAGTGGACAAATTGGTGAGAGGCGCTGGGAGCGGGATGAGGCCTAGACCAGCGACTCCAAAAAGAACAGCGGAAGATCAACAAGGATGAATGAACAGCAAAGACGTCCATGACCACTTTACAGCAACAGGCTGAGAACCACAACCAGGAAATGGCAAAACAAAAGTAAAAACAAAAAAGTGGAGAAGAGAAAGTCACTCTGTTTCTTATAAAATTTCTGAGTATGGTACCTGAAAGGAGCCAATCCAGTCAAACACGAGCAACTGCACCGTTATGAGGTTCTGAAGCGTCCTTGTGCTTAGCCGTGGTTGGCCATGGTTAGCCGTGGTTCGCTGGCACGTCTCACCTCACGCTCACCTGGAGTATCCGAGTGGCTTTCTGCTTGTAGTCGATCAACTCCTGCTTGGCGGCCTCCAGGTTGGACTTGTGCATCTTGACCTGCTGCAGGAGCTCGTCCACCCTCCTCTTCTCGTCCGCATACTTCCTCTCTGCCAGGGTAACTGCTTCTGCCAAGTTCTGTCGCTCCACCTCCATTTTACTGAGGCGCGCAGCAAACTCACCCTGGAACAAGTGTTTAGATCACACTTCAATCATTTTGGTCTGGAATACATTTTTATGACCATTCATCCATCCATCAGAAATCCTATGGAATTTACCAGCTCCATCCAACAATGAAACATGGATTAAAAACCATTTCTGCCTTAATAGAACTAAAACGAGGAAACGCAACACTGCGGCTTCCCTACAAGGCAGTTCATGAGATCAATTAGAAAGTTTGGTAAAAACACAGAGACTCAATCCACCAGATGCTTTGCTGGAGAAGGAGGAACAGTCTCCTACTGTACCAGTCAGATCTGATTTGATGGTACACACACGCACAAAAAATAATAAATTAAAAACAAACAAACAAACAAAAACACACAGAGACTCAAGAAAATAGAATCACAATTCCCAAGACTAGCTTGAGATTCTGTTTGTTTGGTGTTTCCATTTGTTTTGAGTTTTTTGTAAAGAAATTTCACAGGCTGAGTCTGTTCACTTTGAAGAAAAGGTCTCTCTGATAGTGGCTGGGCTATAAACAGTTACATCGACAAAAACTAGAAATCCCTTAGAAAAAACAATTTGAGGGATTTAGTAAACAGACCTTTTCTAATATGATGGCTAATTTTTTCCCACTTATTTCAAGTTACTTGATAAACCAGTTCAACATGCAGCTGACCCGTGAAAAGCACGGGTTTGAAATGCACAAGTCCACTTACAGGTGGACCTTTGTTTGCCCATGCTGTTGTGGTGAGCTCCAGAGTTACCAGTTCATGGCCCCAGTAAACTGTCCGCAGGTCACTCACTGCACAGGAGGTTGAGCTGCTGACCCCCGAGACGTCCAGGGGTCAACTGTACCAGAGACAACTGCCACATAGGAATGATAAGAGAGTCTTGTGGCATTTTACGCAGACCCTCAGGAACACTTGAGCTCGCTGCAACAGCAATAAGGAAAAAACTCACACTCAATTAGTTTGCACAGTGTACTCGCACAGTTCAAAGCCATGCATTTCTAGGGTCAAGCCTAAGATTGATGTGGATTTTTAACGACACGGGAGGTGGGAGCCCCAAACCTCCTCACGGTTCAAGGTCAATTATACTATTTCAGTTTAAGAAGTTTTTAAAGCACAATCTAAAATAAGACCATCACTTATACCTAGAAATAAAAACTTGAGCTCTAATTCTAAGAAGTGTATTTTCCCCTTTAATCTTGAAAGCTCTCATTACCAGAACGCTCAGAGGATAAAACAGGAGTCGCTAAGTCTGTAGCTATATGCCAATAATCAAAGCCCACAAAATGGAGTAAGATAATTATTTCTACCTGTTGTTGTTGTGTACCATAGAGTTGGAACTGACCACTAGCTGACCCTTCAGTGGGTTTTCAGAGGCAGTTAATCATACATAGTCCTTCTTTCACAGAGAAGCTGGTGGCCTTGAACAGTGTGCCTTCGGTATTGCAGTGCAGCTTCTTGCCCCTAGGTCACCAGAGCTCCCTATGCTAACGTATTATTTGCTGAGCTGGATAGCTGGATTTTTGGTTGTTTTTTTTAACTCTTTTTTAAATTTTATTTTATTATATTTTGTGTGCGTACCGTCAAATCAGATCTGACTAGTACAGGAGGAGATTGGCCCTCCTTCTCCAGCAGAGCATCTGGTGGATTCAAACCGTGCACCTCTGGGATTGCAGCGCAGCTGGCTTTTTGTTTTAAACCTAAATAAATGCTTGTAATCACAGAAGTAGAAATAACTTCTCCTAAGCTACATATTTTTTTTAAAAAAAATTATTTTATTGTGATTTGAGTGAGTTTAGAAATCAAACTGGTTTCTCATCTAATTATTCACATTTTGCAGCATTAAGGTCATTAATTACTAATTAATGAATTAAAATACTTTATTTACCTCTTATTGTATTTTGCCTATCTCTTCCCCAAACTTAGTGTCTATTTTCTGTTTATTAACTTTGAATCACTACTGTCAAGTTGGAATGAATGCACAGCTGACCCTCTGATGGGTTTTCAGAGGCTGTAAATAGCACAGAAGACTGTCCATCTTTCTCCTTTTGAGCAGCTGGTGGATTAGAACTGTCTGCCTTTGGGTTAGCAGCACAACCCCTTACCACTAGGCCACCAGAGTTCCCTGAGGAACTGATTATTACCGGAAAACTTAAGACCAGACAACACTGTGTTCTGCTGAGAAATGCAACATAAGCTTACACTCTGGTGGGAACGTGTTATTAACAGCATTGAGTCATCCCTCCTCGTCGCAGTGACCAGGACTGTGCTCCTCCCATGCTCACCTGCATCTGCTTGTAGCTATCCTGCTCTCTCTTGAGCATGGCGTCCGCCTCATGCAAGCGCTCCTGAAGAGTCTGCAGAGCTTGATTCTGTAGGCTGCTACCTTCAGTGTGGTCCTGCATGATCCTGTAAGGAAAAAACCCATCACGGAGGGAACTCATTTCCACCATGGTGGGTTACAAGTGGTAGAGCAATGGCTTGTCAGCCCAAAAAAGACAGCCGACTACAGCATCTTAAAACAAGCTTTAACTTTGTAAAGGGGCATACTCTACACACCCTTGCTTACTGAAACTGAGAAGCGCTTGCTGTAGAACGTCAAGGACTGCAGTCTTCAATATGGATTGAAGCTCAACATCAAGAAAAACAAAGATTCTCACCAATGGGCTATTTGGCAGCACTGATTTCCTGAAGCCAGAAAGTCTGATGGAACTTTCTGACACAGAATTCAAAAGAACAATTGAATATTTTCTATGGGTGAAAGACAAAATCGAAGAATCACAGGATTCTGCAAGCAAAAGCAAAGAGGAACTTAAAAAATAATCTAAGAAAAAAAAATAAAAATCTAAGATAATGCAGATAAAACAAACAAGGCAACAGAGGTTTGGGAGGGAAGAAACTGCAATCCAGAATATGAGGACCAACGTTTCAGAATCTGTCAGCATGTTGGAGGGATATACGAGCAGAGGTGAAGAAATGGAACACAGAACCAGTGAAATAGAAGACAGAATTCTCAGCACTGATCTGCTAGAACAAAAAGCAAAATACAAAAGTAAGGAAAAAGAATGCTCAAGAATAATGTGGGACACTATAACTTACACCAGGAGAGAATAAAACACATGAAAAGGACCTTCTAAGAATCAAATCCCTATGCACGCACGCGCGTGTATACACACACACACACACACACACACTCAACAGGGTAAAAAGGAAAGCTACAAACTGGGAAAAAATATTTGGTAATGACACATCTAATAAGGGACTCATACATAAAATTTATAAAATACTCCAACACCTCAAAAAGAAAAGGTAAACAACCCAATCACAAAATGGGCACAGGATATGAATAGACACTTCACCAAAGACGACATTCCATTCAGATGGCAAACACACACATGAAGAAATGTCCAAATCCCTAGCTTTGAGACAGATGCAAATCAAAACAAGTATGAGATATCATCTCACCCCAACAACGATAGCAAAGGTGAGGTGATTGAGAGATTGGAACCCTTATTCACTGCTGGTGGGAGTGTAAAATGTTGCAACCACTATGGAAATCAGTATGGTGTTTTCTCAAAAAGAAGAAAATAGAAATTCCATTTGACGCAGCAATTCCACTACTAGGAATATACCCTAAAGAAACCTGAGCTTACACCCAAATAGATATGTGCACACCCATGTTCACTGTTGCATTTTTCAAAATAGCAAAGAGACAGAAGCAACTCAAGTGTTCATAAACAAATGAATGGATAAAAACACTATGGTATAGTCACACAATGGAATAACATGCAGCTCTGAAAAATAAGAAACTCATAAAATAATATATTTAGGCTTCAAAATATAAGCACACACCAAATCCCCAAATCACAGCTGTGGCGCTGGTTCCCAAGTATGGCTGTCCTCCAACAGGTTTCTGCGGCTATAAATCTCAACAGGAGCAAATGTCCCACTTCCTCCCTGGATCAGAACTGGTAACCTTTCAGGAAGCACATCTTGTTACGTGCTTGTTATGAGTTGAAAGATTAATGAGACCATCTTACTAAAAACTTACTTTTAAATTTCAGAATTTGCTAACATATCAAGATTTAAATAATAATTGAATATATTTTAACTGTTGTTAAGAATACACAGAGCACATTACACACTATCTCAGTCATTCTGACATGTACATTTCAAGAATACTTGATGACACCGTGATTGTCACTATGCTCACTACCCCTTTCCAAACTGCTCTCCCAGATTCAGAGTCAAGCTCCTATCTACCCTTTTGAGTTGCTGCTGTCAATTTGATCTCATATAGAAAGCAATTTGGACCATTTTAAAATTACATAAACTTCCAACATTACCAAAACTTTTCCTCTTACAAAATTCCAAAAGCTACATTTTCCCAAGATAAAATAAGCTACAATGTTTACCACTATGTACATGGAAAAAGAAAGTATTTCTCGCTCAGTCTTTCATTAACAGGCTGGCTACCTTGACTTCTCACTCTGTAAGGCCTCCAACATCTCAGTGCGGGCACTCAGGAGCTGGTCAGCTTCTTGTAGCCGCACTTTGAGCACAGCTAACTGGGAGTCCTTCGCAGACACTGCTTCAGTCAGATCATCAACTTGGGCTCGAAGCTCTCGGGTTATTCGATCATTCATTGAATGGTCAACATTCCACTTTTCCACTCTTGCTCTTGATTTGTTTAATTCTAAAAGAAAAGTGAAATTTTACTAAACTAGTAATAAACACACTTTTCTTGCAGCACATATAGATACTCCTTTGATCCTCCTTATTGCCAAAATTAGGAATTAAAAGTGTCTTCAAATTTCAATGCCAATATTCACACCTATATTACAAATAATGTATTGGAAAGAGATACAAAGCTGGGTGTTCATCTATAAACAAGGCTTTTATTTATTTGTTGGTGCCACTGAATTGGATCCAACTGCCTCTCTTCCTCCAGCAGAGCATCTGGTGGATTCAAGTTGCGTGCCTTCAGGATTGCCGTGCAGTTTCTTGCCACTAGATCACCAGAGCTTCCTTAAATAACAGTTTTTCAACAGAGCAGAAAACATGTGAGAGCTCATACTCATAGGTGGACAGCATGGCGTTCACCCTAAACTGGTGGGCGGATTTGGGGAGCTCAGCTTGCAAGTGGGCAAGAAGATAAACCTAAATCAAACGTAGGTCATGAGCACTCCACGTCCCGCAAGAAGACCAACACAGAAACAAAACCCAAAGATTAACACAAAAAGATGTGTTTTCGCCACTCATATTGCAAAAATCCGTAATTCTCTTAAGCTGGGTAATCAGCGTGCAGAGACAGGGCGTGCTGCGGAGGACTCAGTCAAAGCGCACCACCATCTTCACACCCTCCTCACCCAGAAACGGCATATCATCGTAAATTTTTCTTTTTTTTTTTTAGTTTGAAGAACATTGTAGGCTTTGGGGAAATACCCTATGTCTACATATAAATTAATCTGGGGAAGGTAAAGTGGGTTTTTTCCTTCCTTTCTGCAGTTAAGTCAGCTCAATTAGTTTTCAAGCTCTTCACATTCCATTCTTCTAGGTCTCCACCCATGCAGTGATGAAATTTACCCCATGGCCCCATACTCCTTCTAATCACCCACAGGAATCAAAGCAGAGCTTCCCTCTGTCCTTTCAACAATCACACTTCATTTACACATGTCCGCACTCGGTTTAAATCCACCAGTGGCTCTGTGGGAGGAGGATGGGCAGTCTCCTGTGCGATTTACTGCCTCTGAAAACTGGCTGGAGGGTCAGCTATGGGTCAGATCCAACTTGACAGTATACAACAACTTCAGTCATGAAATTTTCTTTTTAATTACCCATATCTAAGGAACTCTGAGGATCTTCTAGCCTTCATGCAGCATAATTCCAGAAAGAGTCTGTAGTCCATGTACGTCTTACAACCCTGGAGCAGCGTGCATGTGACTCTCTCAACTGGAACCTCTATTCTGTTTAATGCCACCTGGCTTTGAATGGCGTTCCTTCAATAGCTCTGCACAAATAACCCAAACACACCAGAGGGTCATGAAGGTTCTGAGAGTCTGTGGTTCCTCAGGACTGACCACACAAGCCCAGGTGGCAGGTTTTGGTTTGGTGGGAAGACACAGGGTGCCATTCCCCAATTCAGGTCCTATGTCTCTTAAAGGAGCACCATTTTACAAGTCACACCTGAAATATTTCCAAGAATCTGGATGTAAAGTTTTCAGTTTGGTTTTGAAATGCAAAATCCCTAACCTTTTTCTTTTTTAATTTATTATTTCTGTGTGTACCATCAAATCAGATCTGACTGGTACAGGAGGAAATTGCCCCCCTTCTCCAGCACAGCATCTGGTAGATTTGAACTGTGTACCACTGGGATTGCAAAATTCCTAATCTTGAACAACCTACATGGAACCTTACCTTCTTGAGTCTCCTTAGACCTTTGAAGCAAGGAGGCCATTTCCTGATTTAAAGACTGGACTTCATTTCTCAGCAGCTGATTTTCCAGTCGCAGGTTCGAGAGCTCGTGTGACTTGCTGTCATCTTTAGATACTGGGGTCTGGTCAGTACATGCGGCATCTGAAGACACATTTTCTTTTGACGAATCCTCTTGGCCTTCAGGGCCAGCATCTGAATTAGTGGATATTTCTAAAGGAAAAGAACACAAAAAATGTGGTCCAAAAAGTTACCCTGGCTCTCACCACATACACAACAGTAACTTGTTTTTGTGGCCTGCCTTTGGGCTCTACCCAAAATACTGTAAAAGGTCAAGTTCACGCTCTCGGGTGGGATTTCATCCTCATACACAGAACCCAGTGACCACTGAGGACCCTCTAAGTCAGATACACTGAACAAGAGCTGATAAAGAGCAGACCAAAGAACACAGCTCTGGGAAGCAGGAAACCAGAGGTAACTCAAGCAGTTCGGTTTAGGAAAAAGGACATACTTTCAAGTGGCTTTTGCAAAGGAAGAGGGTGGTGTCCTCAGCATTAAAGTATCTGGAAGGAAAGGGCTTCAAAACAGAGAACAGACCACTTAGTTATATACCATACACTGGAATCTAAAATGCCTTCACCAAAGAAAAATGTTTATCCAGACTCATCATCTTTTCCTCATTGGATAGGGTATAGTTTTTACTTTAAAAACTTACATATTAATTAAATTAAGTGCTAAAAAGGAAGTATTTTGAAACAACAAAACTTGAAAAAAATCATAGAATTAAGAAAAATCATAAAGAAATTTTACAAGGGAAGATAAACACATGGTCAAGAAATATATGAGTAAGTGCTCAACTACTGATCGAGGAAGTGCAATCCACGAGAGCGAAAATAAAACCACCACTAAATGCTGTCAGCTACAAGGAGTAACCTGGAAGCTCTGGTGGCCTGGTGGTAAGAAGCTGTACTGCAATCCCAAAGGCTGTTGGTTCAAATCTATCAGCCACTCTATGGAATAAAGATAGGCAATCTCCTCCCTTGTAATTTTACTGCTTCTGAAAACCCACTGGAGGATCAGCTAGGGATTGGTTCTCCCTCAATGGCATACAACATCATGAAGGAACCAGAACTCTCCTACCCTGTTGGAGGAACTGGTACAAGTATGATGGAAACAGGATCCATAATTATTTATGAAGTTAAATATGCACTTACCCTGTAACCGAATGATTCCATTCCTAGATATTTACCCAAGAGAAAGGAAAACTGTCCACAAACAGTACAAGAATATTCCTCACAGCCACAAACTCCAATGCTCTTTAAAGAGAACAGTGGTAAATCCTTAGGAAATGGAATGTGGTTGCTGGTAGGTGAAGTTTCGTCAACTACAGCTCACAGTGACCCCATGCACCGCAAACATGAACCCTGTCCTGCCCGGTGCCATCTCACCAGCACTAATAATACTCGAGCCCACTGCTCCACTCACTGTGCCACTCCATCTTCTGGAGAATCTTCCTCTCTTTTGCTAATTCTTCAAGCATGATGCCCTTTTCCAAGGACTGGCTTCTCCTAATAATATGCCCAAAGTATGAGAGAGGAAGTTTCATTATCCTTCCCTCCAACAAGGCCCTGGCTCTGCCTTCTCCAAGACATACTTACTTGTTCTTGGGGCCATTCAGTACTGTACTGTAACACCACAGCTCTTCTAATGTCATCCTTAATCAATGTCCAAATTTCAGATATATAGCAAATAAATGAAAAGACCATGGCTCGAGTCAGACACACTTTAATCTTCAAACTGACATCACTGCTCTTCAGTACCCTGGAGAGGTGCCAGACAACACAATTCCCCATCACCACACATTTTTTTATTTCTTGACTGCTGTTGCCAAGGGCATGGTTTGTGGATCCAACCAAGGGGAAATTGCTAGCCACTTCAATTTTCTCTCCATTTATTCAGTTGCCGACTGGCCCAGTAGTGAGGATTTTTGTTTTCTTCACATTGAGATGGAATCCATATTGAAGGCTATAGTCTGGTTTTCTCCAATAAGCAGCTAAGGTCATCTTCACTTTCAACAGAGTTGTTTCAACTGCATAATGCAGGTTGTTGACAAGCCTTCCTCTATTCTGATGCCACATTCTTCTTAAGTCCAGCCTCTCAAATTAGTTGCTTTTCATACAGACTGAATAGGTATTAAGAAAGGATACAGCCCTGATGTAGAGCCCTCTTGATTTTCAGCCACGCAAAATTCCCCTGCTCTGCGTGCAGGTTTTGCAGGAGTGTAATTACGTGTGTTCTGGAATTCCCATTCTTCTCAATAGTAGTCATAATTTGTTATGATTCACACAAATGCTTTTCCATAGTTTATAAATTAAAAACATCTCTCTGGTATTCTTTGCTTTCAGCCAAGATCCATCTGACATCAGCAATGATGCCATGGCTTCTTCTAAATTTAGCTTAAATTTCTGGCAGTTCCCTGTCAATGTATTGTTCTAGCCTTTTTAGGAAGATCTTCAGTAAGACTTATGTGTGATATTAAGGATGTTGTTATGTGCTGTCAAGTCACCTGTGACTCATAGTGACCCTGTGTACAACAGCTCTGAACCCTGCTCTATCCTGAGTCAACCTTATTTTGACACACTGACCCCCATTACGTTAGTTTGAGTCAATCAATCCATTTCATCCAGGGTCTTCCCCTCTTGTACTGTCTCTCCACCCTCCCAAGCATGACGTCCCTCTCCAAGGACTGGTCCCTCCTTGCAACATATCCAAAGTATGTCAGACAGAGCTTCAGAATCCTTGCCTCCAAAGAGCAGCCTGGTTATTTCCGCATTCTGTTGTATCACCTTTCTTGGCAATGGGAACAAATACTGATCTCTTCTAGTCAGTTGGCCAGGTAGCTGTCTTTCAAATTTCCTGACAGACTGGTGAAGACATCCAGAGCTGCATGTTTGCTGAAACATGTCAACTGACAGATATGCCATCAATTCCTGGGGCCTTATTTTTTTTTTCTTCACTATCTTCATCATAGCTTGGACTTTTTCCTTGCCATTGGTTTCTGATCACATACCACCTCCTGAAATGGTTCCACATCTATCAATTCTTTTTGGTTTAGTGACTGTGAATTCCCTTCAACTTGGATGTTTCATATATTATTCAACATCCTTTAGTACTTTAACTTGTGACTTAAAATTTTCAGTTCTTTCAGTTTGAGAAATGCAGAGTGGGTTCTTCTTTCCTGAAAAAATGACTCTAGCTCTTTGCATATTTCATTGTAATATTTCATTTTCACGCACTGTCTTTGAGACAGTCTGTTCATCTCTTCCTTTCACTTTGGTTTCTTGTCATTTTAATGCAATTTTCAGAAGCTCTTATAGCATCCATCTGGGACTTTTACAGCCAGAATATCCCTTAAAAGGGAAGATGACAAGACTTTTAAGTACATCCTCTGAGCGTGTTATTAGGAGTGGCCAGTCCCTGGAAGATGTCCTCCTTAGTAAAGCAGATCACCAACAAAAAGACCCCAACAATACACAGCAACAACTGTGAGGATGGCACAAGAATGGCCAGTATTTTGTTCACAGGGTCGCTATCAGCTGGAACCAATTTAACAGAACAACAGTAAAAAATGAACAATTCATATACACAACATGGATGCATCTCACTGATTACAATGATATACCACATGCATGGGGAGGGAATCAGAATCATTTTTGTTGCTGTTGTTATTAGGTGCCATCAAGTACAACTCATAGAAACCCTACAAACAATAGATCTGAGCTCTGTCCCATCTGTGCCATCCTCACAATATAAACACTAGAAACCATTGCTTCAGTTATTGTCAATCCACGGCTGAGGGTCTTCCACGCCTTTTCTGTCCCTCGTTTGCAAGCACGATGTTCCTCTCCAAAGAACAGCCTCTCCTAGCAACATGCCCCAAGTACGTGAGATGAAGCTTTGTCATCCTTGCCTCCAGCGAGCACTCTGTCTACACTTTCTCCAAGAAATACCTGTTTGTTCTTTTGGCAGTTCCTGGGATATTCAGTACTCCAACACCACAGTTCAAAGGCATCAATTTTGCTGTCATAATTTTAAAATGATTCTTCTTGAATAATTTTAGCTGGTACCAAAAAGCCCCAACAAATTCAACATGATGAAAATAAAACTAGAAATATAATTTCCTTAACCTGAAATAGACTTTGTCTCAAATACTTTGAACACATTATCAAGAGGTAAGCCATGAAACAAAACATCATGCTTGGCAGATAGCAAGTGAAAAAAAGAGGCAGACCTGCAACTGGATGGACTCAGTGACTGCAGCAAGGAGCTCAAACACACAAGGCTAGAGAGGCAGGTGTTGGACCGGCTGGTGTTTCATTCTGTTATCACAGGGTCCCTGTGAACTAGAGTCTACCCAAAGCTTAACAAAAGCATGAGAATCTAATGCAGACATCATGCAGAGCAGTAGAAGAAGAAAAAAAAATCCCTTTAAGACAAGGAACAAGATAGAAAATTTGTCTTTGGATCCTAGAAAACAGAGATAAGCAAAAAAAGGATTTTATGAAATGTTAAGTCCCTATTATCTATTGATGATATAATTGTGTTACTATATGACAGCTCAAGAGAGGATGACCCTGGATGAGATGGACTGATACAGTAATTGGGGCAAGTGGTGTAGGTGTGCCAGAGTCAGCGGGGCTGGCTCAAGACAGGGCAGGCATTGGAGCTGTTGTACACAGGGTTACTGTAAGTTGCAGGTGACTTTACAGCACATACTACCACCATTAATAAATGTACAGAAAAACAGGTTAAACAAAGAGTTATCTAGGGGTTTGTGTGTGTGTATATATGTGTGTGTGTGCATACATACATATGTATACACACAGATATATATATATGTATATATACACATGCAGACATATACACACAAATACAGAAACATATATGTATTTGAAGCAGGAGTGGCATCCACTTCCTAAATAACATGCCTCCGGAAACTCTATGAACTTCAATAAATGTCGACAGTTGTAGAAGGGCTTCAAGCTTTTTGTTCATAGGGTTGCTATGAATCATGCTCAACTTGAAGGCAATCAACTACAACATACATGTATATATACACAGATGTAGACATATACACAAATATACACACACATATATAAGGCAACATAAATAATACCAATAAATAGCAAAATTTTAAAGGCTATTCTTTATAA